GGATGCTGAAGGGCGTGAGGCCGCCGGCACCCTGCGCTCCTCAGACCCCCGCGGCTCCTCTCGTCATGGGCGCGTAATTATGCCCTGCTCCCGGCAGTCCGGACAGCGAGCCTTTGCTTCGCTTTCCCTGTGCCGCACAAGGTCTGCCCAGCGTTTCCAGTGGCCCTTCCTGCCCTGGCACCCTACAGCCGGGTGCACTTGCATTTCTGTTCCCACCTTTGCAGCTGTAGAAACATGCCAGAATCTACCACCACAGATGCAGTTGCCAGACAAGCATGGAACCTGAACCCGAACAGACGACATACAGGCTTCTTTTTTTGTTGTTTGTTTGCAAGCGTTGTAATTAACATGTGATGGTACACTTACGCGCTTTCCATAGTTTTCTGCCACAGCATAGGAGCTTTTTGTGAGTTACTCTACTTTCTCTTTTGTCATTAATTCTTAATTAAGTACAAGTTGTAGTTGTGTCTCTGTCTTTAATTTCAGTGAATAATTTCCTTTCCCCTCCTCTCTGCTGTCCAGGATGCAGTTGTACGTTTTCACTCACCTTTAATCCTAAATTAACAGACCACATTATATTAGCCAGGCTCTGATAAACGGAACATATAAAATGAAATAATTGTTTAGTCTTAGTGTCAGGAACAAAACATAAATACTTGAAAAAAGTCTTCTCATATATCTTTTCTAGGTAGTTCTAGCAGGCTTTAGTAGACATCCTTAGCTGACCAGTTCAGTAATTCTGGTAAAAGGATAAGAGCAGGTAGGAAGACCTGTTTTGGCAGCATTCCCTCCATATACTGCCTTAAAGAGATTGAGAAACTGGATCCACAAATACTACAGTATGACTGGTAGACACTACAGAAGGAAAAATAAGTGTATCATCTTCTTTTCAAATACCTTAGGATATTATCTGCAGAAAACAATGTGAAGTCTGTACCCTAGTGCTTGAGTTAATAAGCATTTCATCCCTCCTTGGTGATGATGGTAGAAACCTGTAATCAGGATCCCAAATTGTACAGGTAGGACTCATCTTGGTAACCTATTGGTCACTTAATCTACAGGACTGAATTACCTCTTATATTTCAAACTTTCTCACTTGCTTTTGATGGGCTGGATGTGATTTTCCTGGTATTTTTCCTGTTGGTATTCCTTCTGGGTGATTTTACAACCTGACCACAGTTCACAGCCTTGCTAACTCATTTCTGGCTCTGTTTTGCTATCTTTTAATTGAGTTGCCTTGAAAATGCAGAGGCAAACCAAATATTTTCCCCACAACTGCTTTTCTCTTCCTTGGGGGCAAAATCAAAAGCCACCATTTTCAGGAAGTGGAATGCAGCAGTCTCAAACTTGTCTGAAAACTGAGCCTGAGGCTGGCAGCTCTTTCAATATCTTATATTCAAGAAGGCATCTAGAGGTTCTTTAATCTTTTTTTTCCCCTCATTTTTTCTTTTGCTTCTTTTGCTGTTGAGTTAACCTGCAATCATACAATAAACACCATGTTAACCACTTTACTGCATAATATTTAAGAATGCTAAGTAACGTAATGTCTATATATCTGCCTTGCATGCGACATTTGTTAATTTTCAGCGTGTTTTCCACTCAACATTAAGTATCTAGTATAAATAATCTTAGTCCAGCAT